GTCACAAATTCTGCCTCGTATACTGTCAGTCTATGCTGATAAAGATGATACTACATTCCATGATTCTTAATTAGTTAGTATTTGCTTTCTTCCTCTCCCTTTGTTTCCATACTCCATCTATGTTTCGCCGTTCACGATGTGCGAAGGTGTTAGCCTTTTTCACAGTGTGGCCAAAGAATCTAGATGAATCCTTGCCAGGGCCGGTTTTAGATTTAATGAAGCCCTAAGCTGTTTAAAGCTCTGAGGCCCCCAGTGATTTCAATTACACCGGCTAATCTTAGAAAAACTGTGTGTACTTTTTAATTAAATAGATAATAGAAATATGTCGTCGTTTAATTTGTAGTTAAAGACATAATAAAAATGTGTACAAAGTCATAGAAAGTATATTATATACTCCTCTTCAGAACTGTATTAAAAAATAAATACAAATAGGAATTTGCTGAGTGTTGAAGCCCCTAAATTGCAGCTTTTTATGTTGTGCCTAAATGTAGCACTGCTCCTTATGACGCGGGTACAAAAGTTTTTTTTTTTTTTTTTTAATATATCTTATTCATTTTGGTGTCGCCTCCTCATCTTTTGATGCATTGCTAATTCTTTACTTCTCCCCATATCATTTAATATCCTATATTCTGCACAGGCACCAGTTAATGAAGGTTTGTTGCGTATTAGTTATGTTTTAGCTGAGTTTCCGCTCCATACAGCAGCACTGATTTGACATTAGAGTTAGCAGTTTTAGGTCCACTATGTTTTGATTATCGGCTCTGTGGCTAAGTCGATGCAAACGCTTCGTAATGCCGGGATGCCGGATTCGATCCCAGCTGCTGGCCATGCACCTTGCGTTGGTTTCGACAGTGGTATCAAGAAAGCCGTTCGTCCAGTAAGCAATGGCAAACTACTGGACGTAAATTTGCCTAGAAAAACCACACAACAGCCAGGGGCTGTTGTGGTTGGTTCTGCAACGTCCTGTAAAGGATACGCAACTAACCTTTATGTTTTGTTTTGCAGCGTCCGTGGCTTGGACCTTGCTACTCCGTAATTCCAACATACCGCGACTGAAACCCACGACCGGCTGCCTTGATATTTATCGTGGTATTGGGCGTCGCAGGTCGACCCAATCTGAAATGGGTACCAGGATGTATGTCCTGGGGAAGTAAAGACGGCCGGCGTAATGCTGACCACATTACCCACCTAGTGCCGATTGGTCTGTGAAAATATGGGGTGCTTCTCCCATATGCTCGATGCGCATAAAGTCGTGAAAAGGGAACTTTTTTTAATGTTTTGATTTTCTTTGACTTCCACAAAATGTCCAAGTGCTATGAAAACTCCTCTTACCTTTTGTATTGCTTTTTAATATCTCTATCAGTTGTCCTATATGACTTACTGCCAAATAGGTGTATGTCTCAGCATCTTGGTGTAAAACTTCGCCGAAAGACATTACTCTAATGTTTGCCTAGTTAATTCCA